CAGGAAGCCCTGGAGGAATGTTGTCCATGGGGTCACGATGGGTCGGACGTGACGTCACAACTAGCAACAACCCAACATTAAAATGCATGGCAAAGGAGAGCAGAGGGGAGAAGGCATTTGAAAGTCAGAGTGCGAGAGAAGTCATGGAGGATGTGAGGGAGGCAGAAAGGATGCTTTTACTCCCCATGCCCCGCAGCCCAATAGACAAATAAAGTGACTCCTCCTGACCCCTAGAACAAGTTTAGCGCTCACTGATAGAGATACACTGGGCGAAAACCACAACATATTAAAAAGCTGTGATGCAATAGGTCTGAGGAAGTCTGGAACACCTTCATGAGGACAGCTCACAATGAGCATCACATGACACACCACAGAATCAGGCATTAGAATGATGGTTAAAATACCCAGTGCAAATTACCCCTGGGCTGCATACTTGGTTGTAAAATACGAAGGGTACAGTAAATAATAACACCATCCCTTTATTACCCACCTTTGTTTCTCCCTGAAAAAGGAAGCAACTGTTGTTTTGAGTCACTCCTGGAGATATTGACTGCAACCTATTTGCTTGAGAGATACTTGCAAACTTCAAGACAATCAGCAAAGCATCCATCTGCCTTACAGTCTTCTTGGAGGATCACAGACAAATATATCAAGAAGTCTTTAAGGAAATGCAGATATGGAAACCCATTCCCAGCTAATAGCATATTTGCTTGTATGCATGCTCTTCATGTAAAATTTTTTATCTTTTCTACAGGGTGGGCACAGACTGGTATACTGCCATAAGAATGATCAAAGAATAATTTTGAGTTTTCTTTGAATGACCCCTGTCCAGCATAGGTTACATTTAAATGACTGAACTAGGCTGATTCCTTGGCTCTCTAAAGGGACATTTCTCTGCAGGCCTACTTTATTTTAAACCTGCTGATGAGCAAGAGCCATGAACTTTGAGGACAATGGTCGGCATTAGGGACCACATTGCTAGTAGGTAGTAGAGTAAAAACAGAAGGGAAAGGAAAATAAAGCCAAAGAGCAGTCTAGAAACCCTGGAAGGCTTAGAAGAAAGATGGAAGAATTATTTTGAAGTTATTTTGAACCAATATTTTCTAGTGAATTTCCTGCAATAAACAGAATACTCAGACAACAGCATAAATAACATGGAAGAAGCTTGCATTTGCAAAGACAAAAATATGCTGTGGGGAAGACCTCACACATTTTTTGGCTCAAACACTTAATATTTATAGAGAAACTGTGAAATAAGCATTAGCAGAGTTACCAGCAAATTTCAGTTTAAGTGGAGCTGAATGCTCTGTTGGAAACATATGTCGGCAATAAAGAAAGTCTTGACCAAGAAGATGAGCTTTGATTCTTTAATGTGACCTCCTCTTAGCACTCCAAAGTAGAAATCAATCACATATAATAATACATTTTGGATCACTCAGTTCAGGCTATCAGGAAACAGCTCCAGATGTAATTGAACATTAGATTTCCAAGGCACAGTCTCTTCTACATACTTGTGTTATGTTAATAGAACAGCAGTCCCTGGACTACTGATAGCTCTGGTACACTTGTCTCAAAGAATTAAAATCAGAATGCCACTTCACTCTTATACCCAAAAAAAGTTTACTCTGATAGCCCAATATTATGAATAAATATATGGCGGTTATTCTCACAGGTGCATAGCAGTACTGCTTGTCTGTGTGCCTGCTTCTGTCTCCACTCTCTGAGATCTCGGGTGACCTACTCAGGGTTAAAAAGAACAGAAAGGTCCCTTTGTGACATGGCCTTTGCTCTGCAACAATTCCAGCCTTCATCATTCATTCACACTGGCTAGTCCTCCTGGACTTACCAAGCGCACTTCATGGCTTGTGAATGTGTTCTTATGGCGCCAATACTGATATGCATGATATATGCTCTCGTATGGGTGCACATATCCCTCACAGGGAGATGAAGTAGAATTGGCTGACTGGAAGGAGGTAAGACCTAAGGAGTCACTCATAAATAGATGCTTCCTCTTTGAGAAGTTTCTGGGGGTCTGCAGGATCCTTTCATATTATTTAGAGTGGTGACAGGCAGATTTCAGGGAAGGCAGGGTTAGAAACATAATGGTGGATTAAACTGTGGCCTTCCAGATGTTTGCCTACAGCAGACACTGACTTTAATGCCAGTGTAGACAAGGACACAGATGAGTAATGCCCACTGCTGCAAGCACTGGGTAAGTTCAGCTGTGCCTCCACAGTCCATGTGGGAAAGGTGGAAGATACACAAAGCCCAAAAGCTGTAGCTCACTTCACTCACCCACCTGCCTGGCGCAGGGGAGGCAGAGGATAAGTGAAGCCATTCTTTTTTCACATGCATGAACTTCTGGAAATGCTGGGTAAGTGTGCAGCTGCTGTTCCCCCAATCTTGTATTATCTGATCATAGACAATGAGGAAAGGTCTCCCTCCATTGGGAAATCCGATCTGTGATTGGAGATAACAAGAGGATTCCTCAGCCTACCATCTTCCAGATCCCCCAATAGACTCATGGTTAGGGAAGGGGTAGGGCTCCAAGTGGGGCCTCAGAAGGAGCCCAAGATGCAGACCCATGCTTGAGAGAGCCACTGTGGTATAGCAGTTAAGAACACAGGTCTGGGACTCCGGCACTCTGGCTTCTAGTTCTCATTCAGCCCTGGAGCCAACTGGGTGACTTTGGGCCAGTCACAGACTCTCAGTCAAACCTACTTCACAGGGTGGTTGTTGTGGGGATAAGATGGAGAGCAGCAGGAGGAGAATGATGTAAGACAATTTGAGTTTTTTAAAAGGAAAAAGGTGGAATATAAATCTAATACATAAAATTAATAGTAATGCATTTAGAATGATGTTCATACATGATCGTACTGTCCATGTTATAAACCTGGATTACCAACAGGAAAGAAAATGTTATTCAGAACAATAGCAACGATAATTTGCAGTTTGCTAATGCAAAATATACATAAATTGAATCAGTGGAAACATGCTTACATTAACATAATATGCTATCACCCTATGCACACACATACCCTATAGAATCATTGAATAGGGATGTGAGAGAGAGAGAGAGAGAGAGAGAGAGAGAGAGATATTTCAAGCCATTTCAACACATTTTTTTCTCACTAGAAGTTGCTATATTCATTTTTGTTGAAAGGCAATGTTTTGCTGATTGAGTTGTAAATGTTTTGCTGATTGAGCTGTGTTATTTTAATGATGCAATTTTGTATTTGAAGAACAAAATGAAGAATAACACATTTTAACAGTGCAACATGTCATAATCAAACGACTAGCAAGTATCTTGTGTTCAAATCAAGGCTATATAGATCTCTAGTTGGGAGAATTCACTAATAAGCACAGACTTATTAGTGCTTTAAGTTTCTTTGTTGGAAAATACTAAAATGTACTTCTCAGAAATGTAAGTGTAATATTTCTTCAGTCACACACACACACACACATTTTTCCAAGCTCAGCCTTGATAATTGTTCAGTAAAGAACATTGTTTTATGTATTCGTGGTCTTGAGTGTTTTGGGTTTTTTTTACTTCATGCATGCTAAATAATCTTGTTCAGCTGTTCACAGAAAATGACTGAATTTCAAAATTCAAAAGGGAAAGGTTCAAGACCTAAAGGACCAGGCTGAAAAGCACAAAGCTGATATGCTGATAGATAAACAATGAACATCTGTTTATTCTGCTGCCCAAGCACATACAAAAGTGCTATTTTTCTGGAACTTATAAACAATAAACATCATATTAAAATATAATTCATTTTTGCTGTCTCTCAATAAACCCCTTCCATTGATTTATAGTCTCCATGATATGCATGGAGATGTGGTAAGTTTGAAAGTGAGTGGCTACCGAGGATAAATCCTTTACCAAGAGAACTGTCCCTAACACCCCACCATACTGCTGCCTCCCAAGCTATCCTCAGAAGAGGGTTGAACATGGACACTTACCTCATGTTGAAGGGAACAGGTCCTAACAGAGTCATGCAGACAACTTTCCCAGGCCTGAAGTCAGGGATCGTTTTTAACTGGAAGTACTGGGAACTGAATTTGGGATGTAGGCAAACTTGTGCTTTACCTCTAAACCATATCCCCATACCCACTGGCACATTGTTGAAATGTACAAAGCCCCTCAACCTGGTGGACCAGGATTTGAAACAAGCAAACTTAGTGGATCAGTCCAAATGAAGGTGCCATGTTTAAGTCACGGAACAAGATTTATTCCAGTCAACAGGTGTGAGATAATTTGTGTGCAGAACAAGAGATGAATCAAGAGAATTGATGTTCATAGTATAGCACTGTTACATACATTTCAAGTATAAGTTTTGTGAAATAATATTCACAACAGACAAGGGCTCAATTTCTGAAGATTGCAGAAAAACAAATTTAGACTATAGTGCCAAAAGTTTACATTGTAAAACTCTATTCCATTCCCTCTTTTCATAAGACCAGCTGCAATCCTATACTTACCTGGAATATGTTCCACTGAAAATAATGGAACTTACTATTTGATAGATGCATATAAGACTGCATTGATCTTTCATTTTGGTTTGTTGCCCCTTATTTATTTTTTATATCCTAATGTCTCACAAAAAAGGCTATCACTGAGGGGTTCACATTCTGTTAATATAAATATTGCATTGACTTGAAAGTGTGTGAGTGTGTGTTTAGTTCTTATTTAATTTCAAGAATGACAAGGTACATTTTAGAGTGGTACAAAAAAAATAGTCTACACAAAAAGTAGAAAGCTTATGAAAACATTGCTTCACAGCATTAAGGATGATCAATTAAATATGCCCCAGATCTGCCATTTATTCTTTACTCTTTACAGTTTGACATAAAGCCCTGTCCAAGAGCTCCAAAGAATCAACGGGTGAGCATTAACAAACATTGTTCATGCCACTCATGCAAATTAATTACAAAGGGGGAAAAGTCCTTTCATATGTCTGCCATGTGTCAAACACAATGAAAAGAAGATGCATGCTCACCTGTTTTAGGGTCAACAGAGAAATATGGCTGTCCCTGAAGAATACTGTACACTACCCGGGCACTGTTTCCATAGGTGGGGTCATCTGCATCTGTAGCTGTAACCTGAAGGACTGAGGTACCTGTGATATCCAAGAAAACAATTTTTAGTCAACAGTCGGCTAAACATGCAACACCTACATTTTTTAAAGATGCAATTTTAACACTTACTCCATCTAATGGGCTTTTTCAAGATATAATGCATTGGCCCACTGGGTTTCTTTCTAAAAATGTATAATCTTTTAATTATAAAATTAAATGTATAATTTGCAAACCTTATAGCAGAACCCCAATCCTGTGTTCATTCATGAGCATTTTCATTCATGAACCCACATTTGCTTTGAATGGGTATGTATGGTGTGTGGTTCAAACTTTAGGGGCAGTATCCAATGCTGCCCTGCTACTAGTGGTGGGACTGGAAACAACCAGAATTAGCCCAAGTAGCACTTCCAGAACAGGAAATGTATGCAGGAAAGGTGGAACTGCTTGTCTGTGCTATTTCTTGTAGTTGTTCTGTGAAGTCGTAGTTCCTATTATAGCAGCATTAATTCTTGCTGGCGATAACATGACTGGTGCTGGAGGACTGTCAGCATTGCACCTTGTCTTTCATAAGGACAAAAAAGATCCTGGTCAATACAGAAAGGTTTAACTTAAGCATAAGATTTATATACACTAAACTAAACCCACAATAGCCCCCAGAGGGAAAGATCTACAAACCAGAACATAGAACCCAAAAGCTATGAAACACACTCCAAAAATTTGCACATGTCTTGTGGAATTTTGATTTTCTTTCCTCTCATCTTTGGAAAGTGATACCAAATTGCAACCTGATTTTGAAAGTATTCTCATAATGTTCTGCTCATAATGGACTGTTTGCTAGATGTAAACGGGAAGCATGAAAACTGTGCATATTGATCCATCCACAGAAGCAAACTAAGCAACTGACTGGGATGCTTTGGTAATGCATGAAGTGTCTGGGAATAGCAAGCTCACTTCAAGGAAAGGTACTTTTCACATACAAGTAACAACTAAACCAGAAACTGGAAACTAAATCTGCAACACAAGCATGCTCACATGAAAGTTAGCTTCATCAAAATTGGATGGAGGTAACTAGTGGGGTGCCACAGGGTCCAGTCCTGGGCCCAGTGTTCTTCAACATCTTTATTAATGATTTACATGAGGAAGTACAAGGAAAGATAATCAAATTGGCAGATGATGCAAAACTGGGTGGAATAGCAAACACCCTAGAAGACAGAATGAAGATCCAGGGTAATCTTGATAAACTTGAACACTGGGCTGAAAGCAACAGAATAAGATTCAATAAGGACAAGTCCTCCACCTAGGAAAGAGAAACCAAATACATCGATAAAAGATGGGGAATGCGTGTCTCAACAGAACTGAAAAAGAAAAAGATCTTGGAGCTATTGTGGAGAATAGGCTAAACATGAGCTAACAATGCGATTCAGGCACCAAAAGGGCAAACACTATTTTGGGGGGCATTAACAGTAGTATTACTTCCAAATCATGAGAAGTAGTAGTTCCTCTATACTCCTCACTAGTCAGACCTCACCTGGAATACTGTGCCGAGTTCTGGGCACCAAGATTTAAGAAAGATGCAGAAAAATTAGAAAGGGTCCAGAGAAGGGCAACAAAAATGATCCAGGGTTTGGAAACACTGCCCTATGAGGAGAGACTGAGAGAAGTGGGCATGTTCAGCCTTGAGAAGAGAAGACCGAGAGGGGACATGATACCCCTCTAAAAGTGCCTCAAAGGCTGTCACAAAGAGGAAGATCAAGATCTGTTCTTGCTGATACCAGAGTGTAGGACACGGAATAATCAGTTCAAGTTGCAACAACCCAGATTCAGGCTGGACATCAGGAAAAGCTTCCTCACTGTCAGAACAATGTGGCAGTGGAACCAGCTGCCTAGACAGATGACGGACTCTCCCACACTAGAGACATTCAAAAAGAAACTGGATGGTCATCTGAGTGGGATGGTGTAACATGGTGTTCTGCAACAGCAGGGGGTTGAACTCGATGGCCTTCATGGCCCCTTCCTACTCTACTATTCTATGATTCTATGAACAGGCATAATTGCAGAGAAAATAAGTTTAGGATGGGAAAATATGTATTACTATTTCTATCTCAGAAAACTAATATGTAGAACAAAGTTCTTGCCAGAGAAATACACTTTCCTAAGCAATGGCCAGCCATGATTGGAGTGCCAACTTTTTAGTTTGCCCATCTCTGCCATGTAAATGTCTTCACAAAATAGCCACTGCCTACACTTTTTAAAATGGGGCACAGGAAAGACTCCTCTTCCAGGGGACATCACAGAGATGACTCTGGTCTGCATGGGCCAGCAACATCGATAAATTGCAAAGGAAAAGAAGTAAAGTAATGACCAACATTAAATATGAACGTAAGAAAATTACAAATGCTATGCCCCATCTCTGGTGGGATCCTGCTACTAAATGCATATTTCAAAAGCACATTTGTGTGCATGCATGTGTGATTAATTTAATGCAGAAACAGGATGGAATGGACTTCTGAGTGAACACTTGCAAAAGTGACACAATCCAAAGACTGCTTAGGCCTGTCCCTACCTATTATTTTCACATTCTTTACATCTATAGGTTTATCCTTTACAATTGGAATTTTGCAAAGTTAGAGACTCATGAAAAGCTGAAAAGGGAAGAATTCAATCTGCATCTCTGCAGACAAATCTTTAATGTTTAATGAGGCAGTTTAATAAAAAAAAAAACCACTGTCTGCTGAGAATACAAATTTGTATGCATGACTTGTCATCCTCTTGGTGCACTGTTAAAATCTGAGATGGATCAATGTTGAACAGGCACTCTGAGGAGTGAAAATCAGGCAAAGCCTTATGAAATCTTCAAGCATCTGGCTACCCATCCAAGGCTGTTTTCTCAAAGGAATTATCAGTGATTTTTTCCCCCTTAAAGAAAGCCAACAAGATACACATTTAAATTTTGTTTTACCCAGGCAATGAATTCTGTTCACCAGAAAACAATAAATAAGGCATGGGCTCAACTTCGTGAGTAATTAAAAAAAAAAAGTTCTGCATTTTCATTCTAAAAAACAACAGCCTTCCTCCTGTTCTTTCAAACTGGTTTCTTTTAACTCTGTTAAAAGTAATGGTTTAGGTGAGGATAACTTAATTAGAAATGAATCACAATACCATGATCAGATCTTATGTCTGTATTCCCTTTAACTAAACCAATAATGAAAGACTGCAGATAATTCTGAGGTACAATGATTTCTCATCACAACACAAAGCCATATTTCCATTTTTGAAACCATTAACTATGAATTGGATTAGAAATTTTTTTCCTGGAGGGGAAATATGCTTGTTTCAGGCACATACAAACATACTTTCGGCTATAGAACCTTAAAAACCAAGTCAGATGTGAGAGATCAGACATCCAGTTCACCCCTCCAAATAGACAAAATTAGTTGGGCTAACAACCGAATCTCCTAAGCTTAAAAGCAGAGAAGAACATATAGCATACGAGCCAGTGCGCTATGGTGGGCAGCATGTTGGACTGGGGACCTGGGGATCCAGGTTCTAGTCCCCAGTGGTCCATGAAACACATTGGTGTCTTCGGGCCAGTTATTCACTCTTAGCCTAACCTACTTCATAAGGCTGCTGCTGTAAGGATAAAGCACAGCTTGCCAGCTGCCTTGCATTCCTCACGGGAGGAAAAATAAGTGGGACGTAAATGCAACGTTTTTGTTGCTATCATTGTCATCATCTTCCTCTTTTGTAAGATCTAGCTGTGTACACTGAAGGAACCTCAAACAGCCCTTGTGAGAGGTCTCCTGCCAGAACAAACTCTGGAGAAGAATGGTGGCCTGTGGAACTGGTTAAAGAACCTTGTGGCCCAGTGACTATTGCCATCAGCCTGAGGACTACCTTTGGGATTTGAATGCTTCTATATTGCCTTTAGGGCTATGTCCTCTAATGAAGCCTACAAGCCACAGGGAGGCTGTTTCCATCTTGCCCATCCTCTCTAGAGCCACTCAGAAGGGAAATTGCCATGGTTATGGGTGAGCCCTTTCTAAGCCCAGGCCATGAGACTCTCATGAGAAGGTCTCTGTGTGTTGCTGGATAGTGGGATATGTATGATGTGCTATCTAGTTATTAAATGCTCAGTTTTCTGGTGCTGTAGGTGGGAAGCCAGTGAGATATCTGGAGCAAAAGTGATTAACACAATTAAACAATACATTAATATCAGTGCTACCTCCACCAGGACCAACAACTCTAGTTACTTAATGTAAGATCATTTATTCATTCAGGTTGCCCACTTCCCTTCCAGAACTGCATTGACTCTTGCAGTGGTTCACACCCCTTTCCTGTTATTAAAACATATTCAATAAAACGTTTCCAAATATTTTCAAATTTGTTTTCACTTATCAAATCTTTTCCCATTTAATATCAGACGTTAACCTCTCATTCATGGCTATATTCCAGACTTCTTTATACCATTCAACTATATGATATTCACCTTTTATTTTCCAGTTCTTTGCTATTATTAATCTTACTGCAGTCAATAAATTTATCATCAATTCTTTGGTATATTGTCCCAGCTGATCTCTAAATAATGACGATAATGCTAATCCTGGATCAACTTGAATATTTAAATTTCATATTTTACTAATTTCTTTAAAGACCATTTCCCAAAACTTATTTATATACTTCCACTTCCACCACATATGGAAATATGTACCCACTTCCTAGTCACATTGCCAAAAAATGTTGGAATATTAATTATTCATGCAATTAAATTTAATTGGAGTTAAGTACCAATTCCAACCCAGTTTATAAAAATTCTCTTTAATTCTTATTGACATAAATTTTAAAATTCTCTTATCCCACTTGTTATTCCATTCTTCAGCATTTATATTTCTTTCTAAATCTGTTTCCCAAGACTCATTAAGAGGAACATATTGAGCCTCTTCTTTTAGTAATATATTATGAATTTTACTTATCATTCCTCTTATCCACATACTATCTTGTTTTTCTTTCTGTAAACTTATATTTTGAAAGTTAGACTATTCTC